AAAATATAAGAGCAGGATGATTATTCAGGAACTGTGTGTATGTGTACACACGCACGCACATACACGTGTATACAAGAGAGAGCTTAAGTACGCATGCAGTTCTGGTCAAGTTGTTAGAGAATGAATGTAATTGCACTAGATTAGATTTTTAGAAGATGTTGGCAGGATTAGAAAATTGCAGTTATGAGGGCAGATTAGATAAGTTAGGTTTGTTTTCATTGGAACAGAGGCAGCTGTGATTTGTTTCAGGTGTACAAGGTTGAGGAGCCAGGAGTGTTGATTGAAAGGACCTGTTTCACTTAGAGGAATCACTGACAAGGGAATATAGAATTAAATTGATTGATTAAAAGGAATTGAGGAGAAGTGAGTAAATGACCTTTCTAGTCAGATGGTAGTCAATGGTAGGAGTCTGGAGCTCTGCCTAAAAAGGTGGCAAGAGATAGAAATTCTCAATTAATTTAAAAGTTGTCTGGATATTCACATGAAGTCCCAAAACCTCCAAGGGTGTGGACTAAGTGCTAGAAAATGGAATTGGGCAGTGTGGTTCATTTTTAGGCAGGTGTAGATACAGCTAGCAGAGTGACTTCTTTCAGTAATGTAAGTGTTTCTGAATTTCTGAAGAGGAATGTGCAGAGTCATGGTAGAATCATAGAATCCCTACAGAGTGGAAGCCGGCCATTTGGCCCACCGAGTCTAAGTCAGAAGACGGAGTACATAATTTCTACTTGGATCCAGTGTGAACTTAATGAGTTGACATCTGTGCCAGAATGAATCTATGGTGGCCACACCTGTGGCCATTGATTGTAATAAAATCAACTTGCAGATTGAGTCATTAACAAATATTGTTAAAGTGCTAGTGAAATGAATGCAATAGTGCAATTGTCAACTTGTGCTCTGTTACCTTGCTTATAATGCAGATTTTGTTCCTGGCAACTGTCAAGTGGGCTACCTTAGAAAGACGTGGAGCTTTGTAAGAGAGCTGCTGTTGGAGTCGACAGAACAATTCTAAATGTATTGTTGACGGTTTTTTTTTAAAAGTTTCTACCTGTTACAAAGTTGATGGATGCTACCCTGGCCCCAGTAATTGCACACAACTTGAAACTGTTCCACTCTTCTGGTACCAGTTTCATTGCAGCGAGAGACAGGAAGTTCATGGTTTTAGTTTTCTTTTACTTTACTACTGCAATTAAAAATAAAATTGAAGTGAAATTCCCCATGTGAATTTCTAAGTTTTGCTGTGCTGTTGGGTCAACTATCCATTGTTTTTCCACTCGAAGGGCTATGCACTAGGCAAGAAAATCAACACCTGCTGCTTTGCTATTTCCTAGTAGCTGAATCAAAAACATCATTGGTAGACATTTTGAAAAATAGTGAGGTTTAAATTTCTGGCTAATTGAGAGGAAGCAGCTCCATGTAAGTAGGGCAAACACGCTTCTTATGAGACCTGCTGGGAAACCACATACAAAATAGAACCGAGATAGAAAATAGGTTAGATATTTAAATTTTAGATTTCAGCATTCTCAGCTGGTTTCAAACATAACCAAAAATACCTTTTAACCATGAATGTATTGAAGTATTGGAATGTGTTTCTGAAGGATTGATATCCATAAAACAAACAAATTTGAGTATCTTACTCACACTTGTATTTCAGTTTACATTCTGCCACTAACTCCTGATAGTCAGTTGATGCAGCTGTTTGTGATGTAATACAGAGATCATGTAACAGAATAAAGAGCAGTCATGCAAATTGCTTACAGATTGACAGACCACTTAACAAACACTATGCAAATCTGATTACCAATCAGCATGAAAAATTATTCATCAGATAAAACCTGGGATTCTTGTATAGTCAAGCATTACAAAGAACGCCAATGCACCAGATCCTTGAGGGCAAGAGTTGGAGTTGAGTAAGCCTGTGATACCAAATCTGCCAACTTCAGGCGCAATAAACAATGCTCTAGGGATTCCACTACTATGGAAAATGTTTATGCCTTCTCTGAATTTCTTGAGGTCTTTTTCACTATCTTTCAGAAATTACAATACTCCAAAATCTAGCTCTGCTTTTTGTGATTCTGGAATTTAAGATGCAGTTTAGATTTATATTTTAGCTGAACGGAAACGTTGGACCTCTCTCTTCAGTTTTTTTTTGCTAGCTTTTCTCTTCATCCACCTCCTTCTTCTCTTCCCGTTTTTCTCTTTTTGCACCGTCAGGCTGAAAGAGTGAAATTAATTTTAACTTTCTCTGTAATAGTGCTGTAATGACCTGACTAGAATCTGCGAGTAAGTTGCCGGATTAGTTCAGGACTGATTCTTAGAGTAGTAATTTTGTTTGCTTGATTTCCATTTATTGTTAACAGCTTGTAAGCCATGGCTTGATGATGAGCACTCCTTGTTTTGACTCACAGTGCTGGCTTCAAGTCTGCTCCAAGATTTGAACTGAGAGAATGCAGTTTTGGGAGTGCTGTATCTTGAATGAGGTTCTAACAGAGTCATAGTCAGCAGCATAGAAACAGGCCCTTCGGCCCAGCATATCTATGCTGACCAGTAAACACCAACCTCTGCTGATCCCATTGACCTGCATTTGGTTCATAGCCTACTGTGTCCTGGAATTGTAAGTGTTCGTCCAAATGCCTTGTAAATGTTGCGAGTGTACCTGCCTCCACCACCCTCTTGGGCAGTGCATTTCATAATTTTGCCACCCTCTGGCTGAAAAATATCTTCCTCGGATCTCCTCTAAACTACTTACTCCTTATGTTAAACTTGTGCCCTCTGAACTTAGAATTTTTTTCCAGATGGCGGGAGTATCTCATGATCTACCTTATCTGTGCCTCATAATTTTTGTATACTTCAATCAGATCCCCCCTCAAGCCGCCTCTGCTCCAAGAGAAACAAACCCAGCCTATCTGGTTTCTCCTCAAAACTGAGGTTTTCTATCCCAGGCAACATCTAGTGAATCTCCTGTGCACCCTGTCCAGTACATCACGTCCTTTTGATAGTGTGGTGACCAGAACTGCACAGTATTCTATCTGTGGCCTAACAAATGCTCTATGATATTGCAACAAAACATCCCTGCTCTTACATTGTAATGAAAGCAAGAATCCCATATGCTGCCTCCATCACCCTGTCTACCTGTGCTGACACCTCCAGGAATCTAAGGACTTGTACACCAAGGTTCTTTTGTTCCTCAGTACTGCCTAGGGACCTACCATCATTATCTAAATCCTTCTCTTATTTGACATCCCAAAATGCATCATCTCACGCTTATCAGGATCAAGTTTCAGCTGCCATTACTCTTTCAAATTTACCTACTGATCAATATCAGACTGTATCCTGAGACCATCCTCCTTACTATCAACAGCACCAGTTTTGTCATCTGCAGACTTAATTAATTATATCTTATACATTTGCATTAAAGTAATTAACGTACAGAACAAGCAGATCTGAGGTCCTATCTGCCTGTTTGGGTAGGTGTAAAAGATTTCATTTCAAACACAAGCAGGGAAAGTCACCCTGTTGACCTGGTCAAAATTTATCTTTTGATCAACATGACAAAAACACTATTCAGAATTAAACATTGCTGTTTGTTGTAGTTTGCTGAGAGTAAATTGGATGTTGCATTTCCTGCAATGCGACATTGGCTGCATTCAAATATATTTGGTTGATTGGAAAGCTCTTTTGAGACATCTGATTATGAAAAGTACAGTTTCTTCGAGTTAGAGCTAAGATGGCAAAATAGTCAAAATGGTTTACTGGATATTGCTTTAGAGCGGCCAAAACTCCACGCTTTTTTTTACATTCCAAGTCTTGACACAGAGCAAGAATGTGGTGAAAGAGATTATTCTCCATCATTGCATTGCTTAGTATTCCAAGGGAAGTACCATTCAAAACCTGGGTAACTGGGGGACATATTGAGGTAATATCTAAAGGAAGTTAAATTGGCTTCTCTGAGAAGCAAATCTTCAGTACTTGGAGTCATAGTTGTAAAGTATGGAAATAGACCCTTAGGGCCAACCAGTCCATGCTGACCGCAATCCCCAACTAAACTAGTCCCACCTGCCTGTGCTTGGCCCATTTTGCTCTGTACATTTCTTATTCATGTACTTATCTATGTCTTTTAAATGTTGTAACCGTACCTACATCCACCACTACTTCTGAAAGTTCATTCCACACATCAATCACTCTGTGTGTGCAAAAAAAAAGCCCCTCATATCTTTTTTAAATCTTTCTTCTTTCACCTTAAAAACTTTCCCCAATCTTGAAATCCTCCACCCTAGGGAAAAGATACCTGTTATTCACCTTATCTATACCCTTCATGATTTTATAAACCTCAATAAGGTCACCCCTCAATATGTTCATCCCAGCCTATCCAGCCTCTCCTTATAACTCAAACCCTCATTTCCTGGCAACATGTTGGTAAATCTCTTCTGAACCCTCTCCAGCTTTAATATTATCCTTCTTATAACAAGGAGACCGGAACTGGACACAGTACTCCGCCCCACCAATGTCCTGTACAGCTTCAACATAACATCCCAACTCCTACACTTATGATTTTGAAATGCTTTTGCTTCCAGAAATCTAACTTGGAAGCCCGTTACAACTGTTGATCGCTCTCTTGTTTGCTGTGGTACTTCTCAACATAAAATTAAAATTTAAATTTGAATTTGATTGCCATTGTTAGTTTGAGCTTGTGTGCCCTTGTCGCACTGTTACTTAAGTTGAAATGGTATTTTGATTTTGACATTTCTTTGCTTTTTACACTTTGTGGGATTAAGATTCTAAGATCGTGAGTTTTTCCATTCACCTGCATAACTGTCTTATGGCGCTAATGCTCAATTTCTTGGCTGGTTTCTGCATTACTTCAGGATTTGAAGGTTATGTTGTAATGTTGGAGTGAAATTCATTATTTTACACTGCAAACACAATAACCAAGTGCTTAGCTGTGTCAGTTTGTTGTAAAATGGTTCACCTTTGCGCAATAACATATTTGTTTAATTTTCCAGGTGCTAGTGAACACAGCCTGCTGTTTTCTTATGTTGATTGGCAAGATGATCCAGTACATGGTCTTCGGAACACTGCGGGTCAGTGAGAGGCAGGTAAAGGTCACTTTAAAGACTATAAAATGATGTGGGTATGCTGGCAACCAAGGACGAACAATGGATTCAGGGATGGGGTAGGGCTGGAGGATGAGTGACGAGGATGGAGCAGGGGGAGGGAGGGGGCCAAGGCAAGTAACAGGAGGCAGTGGTTGAGGCAGATGGTTGGCAGAGTATGTGGGATGAGTTCAGATGGAAGTCTTGGAAGGGGATAAGTTCAGTTCCTGAGGGATGGGTCAGAGGTAGTGGGCCAGCAAAGGAAGAGGAATGGAATGGAGGCAGGTGCAGAGGCAGCAGGGTGGAAGTGGATAAAGAATGAGGTTGGGACAGGGAGAAAGAGAAGAACAAGGGCAGGGGCTGGAGCTGGGACTGGAGGTGGAGGTCGAACATAAGAGCTTGGATCATAAGTAGGCACTTCAGCCCTTGAACTTGCTCTGCCATTTAGTATGATTATGGCTGATCTCATCTTGGTCTCAACTCCACTTTCCAGCCTGCTGCTCATAGCTCTTCAACACATTACTAATTGAAAATCTATCTATCTCTTCAAGTTTATTCAATGCCCCAATGTTCACAGTACTCTGGAGTAGTTAATTTCAGAGATTCATGACCCTTTGAATGAAGTGATGCCTCCTCATCTCTGTTTTAATTCTGCAATCCCTTAGCCTAAATCTATAATTGCTCCACAACAAGGAAATATCTACTTTGTGTCTACTTTGTCAGCCCTCTTTGGCATCTTATGCCTCAGGAGATCTCCTCTCATTTGTCTAAGCTCTAGAGAGTAAAGACCTCAACCTAAACTGCTCAATCTCTCAAGACAAACCCCTGTCATCTCTGGAATAAATCTTGTAAAACTCTACTGAATTGTTTCCAGTGCATCTACAGCATTCCTCATGTAAGGGGACCAAAATAGCACGCACTACTCCAGGTGTGGTCTCACTGTCTAGTACATTTGCAGCAATACTTTGCCACTTTATACTTCGGATCTCCTCAGGTTAGTACATAACAACCAAACTTTTCATTCCAAACTCAAGATTTTTGAAGATTTATAGCTCGGGTTGTAGATGAGGTTTGTAGACTTGCTCGTCGAGCTGGTGTATTTGATTGCAGAGTTCTGTGACCGTGCTAGATAACATAGTCCGTGCGCCTCTGGTGAAGCATTGGTATTCTGTCCCGCTTGTTATTTATATGCCTTGGTTTCCTGGGGTGATCGGTATTATTTCCGGTACTGTTTTTCAATGGTCTGTATATCGGGTCCAGTTCAATGTGTTTGTTGATGGAATTCCGGTTGGAACGCCAGGCCTCTAGGAATTCCCTGACATGTCTGTTTGGCTTGTACCATTATGGATGTGTTGTCCCAGTCGAATTCGTGTCCTTCTTTGTCTGTGTGTATTGAGATCAGTGAGAATTGGTTGTGTCACTCGGTGGCTAGTTGGTGATCATGTATTCTTATTGTCAGTTTTCTTCCAGTTTAGCCTGTGTAATGTTTCTCACAGTCCTTGCACAGTATTTTATATATTACGTTAGTTTTATTGGTTGTGGTATGGGATCCTTTACATTCGTCACTAGCTGTCGCAGGATGGTTGTTGGTTTGTGGGCTACCTTGATACCTAAGGCTCTGAGTAGTCTTGTGGTCATCTCTGATATGCCCCTGATATACAGTAGGGTGACTAGTGTGTCTGGCTGTGGAGCTAATGGCGGTTTGTGCCTTTTGAGTATCCATTGCTTTTAAAAACTCCCTATTAGTGCTCCGGTTCTGCATTGCACAATTCTGGGTTGCTGCAGTGTGTTGTGGCCCGTTTGAATAACGTCCCGATGCAGCTCCGTTTATGGATGTTGGGGTGGTCACTGCAGTAATTAAGTATCTGGTCCATATGTGTGGCCTTTCTGTTTATGCTAGTCTGGAGTTCCCCGTTGTTCTAACGTTCTACCATTATGTCTAGGAAGGGTAGTCAGTTATTGTTCTCCTCTTCTATTGTGAATTTAATTCCTCATGCATTTGATAATCACGAAGGTGTCATCTGCATAGCGAACACACAGTTTGGGTTGTATAGTGGGAGCGCTGTTCAATCTAACCTTTGTGTTACTGCTTCTGCAATCAGTCCTGATATTGGGGATTCCATTGACTTGTTTGAATAAGTGGTTGTTGAAGTTGAAGGGGGTTGTGAGGCACAGATCCAGCAGTTTCGGGGTGCTGTCCTTGTTAATGCTGTTGGTATCGTGGTGTGCCTGCCTTCCTGATTCATCCAGCAGTGTGGCAATTGTCTGTTTGGATAGGTCAATGTTAATGGATGTAAATAGTGCAGGGTGACAGAACATGTGCAGTAAAACTCACCGGCTCGGCGAGCAAGTCTACAACCTCATATTCATAAGAATTAGGAGCAGGAGTAGGCAATTCCACCCCCTACCCTGCTGTGTCATTCAGTATAATCATGGCTAATCTCATCTCCCCACTTTCTTACCCACTCATAACTCTTCAACCCATTACTAATTAAATATCCATCTGTCTGCTTAAATTTACTTCATATTCCAGCTTGGGGGCTGACAAAAGGCAAGTAACATTCATGCCATGCAAATGCCAGGCAGTGACCGTCTCTAATAAGAGACAATCCCATTACTGCCCCTTGACATACAATGGTTACCATCACTGCTGCCCCCACTATCAATATCCTGAGGGTCACCATTGACCAGCAACTTAACTGGACTCGCTGCATAAACACAGTGGCTACAAGAGCAGGTCAGAGGCTTGGAATGCTTCTGCAAGTAACTCCCTTCCTGACTCCTCAAAGCCTGTCCATGATATACAAGGCACAAGACAGGAGCGTGATCGAATAATTCCACCCCCCCCACCCCTCCCCGGCCTGGATGCAGCTCCAGCAACGCTCAAGAAACTTGACACCATCCAGGACAAAGCAGCTGCCTTGATTGGGCACCACATCCCGTCCCTCCATCACCGCTGAGTAGCAGCACTGTATACTATGTACAAGATGAACTGCAGATCCTTAGAAAGCACCTTCCAAATCCACACTCACTTCTGTCCAGAAGGGCAAGGGCAAGGGCAACAGATAGTTGGGAACACTGCCACTTAGCATTGTCTTGGAAATATATCACCATTCCCTCACTGCTGGCTCAAAATCCTGGAAATCCCTCCCTAAGGGCATTGTGGGTTAACCTACAGCATGTGGGCTCCCACGGTTCACGAAGGCGAACATACCATCATTTTCTCAAGGGCAGCTAGGGACGGGAAATATATGCTGGCCAGCCAGCAATGCCCATGTCCCACAAGTACGTTTTTAAAAAAAATCCACGCACTCTGGGTGAGTTCCACAGATTTCTGACTCTTTGAGAGAAATAATTTCTTGTGTTTTAAATCTGCTACCCCTTATCCTAAAGCTATGGCCTCTTGTTCTAGATTGTATGTTTATTTTGTCAATTCTGTTTAATATCTTTTATACCTCAAATAGATCTCTCAATGTTCTAAACTGAGAGCATAAGCCTAAAAATGCTCAATCTTTTCATAAAACAAATCTGTCAACTCTGGAATCAATCTAATGAATTTCCTCTGAACTGCCTCCAATGCAACTGCAAGACTAAAACTGTGTGCTGTATTCCAATGTGGTTGCAGTAATACCTTGTACAATTGCAGTAACACTTCCTTACTTTGATTTTTAATTCAGTCATGGGATGTGGGCATCTCTGGCTAGGGCCAGCATTCATTGCCCATCTCTAATTGCCCAGAGGACTGTTAAGAGTCGACCACATTGCTGTGGATCTGCAGTCACATGTAGGCCAGACCAAGTAAGGACTAAAGGATATGAGTGAACCAGATGGGTTTTTCTGGCAATCAACGATGACTTCGTGGTCATCATTAGTCCTTGAACACCAAGTTCTTTCTTAAATTCAATTCCATCATAAGCCATAACAGGATTTGAACCCAGGTCCCCAGAAAATTAGCTGAGCTTCTGAATTAATAGTGTAGCGATAATAGCACTTGACCATTACCTTCCCATATACCCTATTCCTTATAAATCTCAATAAATGCCAAAATTGTATATTCCCTCCCAGTTAACTGCTGTCCCCACATGCTAGTTTTCTGCAATTTATGCGCAAGACCAACCAGCTCCCTCTGTATTGAAGCATTTTGAAGTTTCTTTCCCGTTTTTCTGACCAAAATTGATAACTATAACAATTAACCATGTAAAATTCCATCTGCCAAATTTTGCCACATCATCTACCTTGTCCGTATCCAATCGTAAATTTCTTAATACTTCATTGCAACCTACTTTCCAACCTATTTTAGCATTGTTTAGTGGTATTTTTGTTGAGGGATGGGGACGGGATGCGGCTAAGAGGAGCATGTTGAGGAATGGGGTCAGGGCAGTGAAAGGAGGAGGTGAGGTGGTGTTGGTGCTGATTTTGGAGGAGGGATAGTGTTGGGATGTGGGAAAAGGGAAGGCTTCAGGGCTGTCGTGGAGGAGTGGCTAGGGATAACTGATTTGAGAGCAGTGGTTGCCGTTGGGGTGGTTGGCTGACCCAGGTTAGGTGTGTGGTTAGGAGTGCAGAAAGGCAATAACAGTAGCTGTTCTGCGGGATGGTCGATCGTGAGGGCATGTAACATAGCAGTGCATTGTTCGTGGATGACTTTAATCTTCATGTGGATGAGGGAAAATGAAACTACCAAAAGTATCCACGAGAGAGAATTCATAGTGTATTGGGAGCAGTTTCTTGGAGCAACATGTTGTGGATCTAAGCTGGGATCATGCTGTTTTGGGATCTGGCAATGTGTAATGAGGTAGGTTTAATTAAGGCTCTCGGACTTTTTAATATGTGTTCACTCCTTTGACTCCAGGTATTGAGAGATTTTCTAATGAGGGAACATTAAGTAGGTTAGGTCTGTACTCTGGAGTTGAGAAGAATCAGAGGATATTTTATTGAAATGTTTAAGATTCTTAGAGAGCTTGACATAGATGGGGGAAGGTCATTTCCCTTGGAGTTTCAAGGACCAGCAGGCATAATCTTAAAGTAAATGGACACTCATTTAAGACTAATGAGGAAATTTTTGAGGATGGTGAAAGCGGAATTCTTTAGTGCAGAGACCTGTTGAGGCTTGGTTAAGTATTTTAAGGCTAAGGTAGACAGATTTCTAACCAATGGGATCAAGGCTCATGGTGGGGCAAAGCAGGAAAGTGAAGTTGAGGGTTATCAGATCAGCCACAGTCTGCATATGTTCTGACATTCAATCAGCTAAATGGCTAACTTCTACGGCTTGTGGAGGCGGAGCAGTGGAGGGGAGATAGAAGCAGGAAAGGGGAGTTGGAGGGATGGGATGATAGACGGTAAGAGGTGGAAGAGTTCGGGCTGTTTGGTTGGGATCTGGAGGGAGTGGCAATGGGGTGATGGAGGAAAGAATTGGCAAAGGGTTATGAAGCTGGGGCAAGTGGGTGGGAAAGTGCAGAACCGTTTGAGACAATCAGATTTCCAGGGAAACTATACCCAAACACTGTGGTTTGTGCATTGGAACTGTTAGTGTCCACTATGCAGTTACACAGAGTAAACAAATGCAATGCTGCTTTCTGCCAGGTTCTGATATAATGGATATTTTGTAGATTTTAATTGGGTCTGGAAGCAGTTATATTTTCTACGTAAATGCTGGTTGTAATGTATGAATCAATTGATGATCATTTTTAAAAGTCAGTGTCTGTATTTCTCTGCCCCACCCCGCTCCACCCCTCCCTCACAGCACCTGAAGGATAAGTTTTGGAATTTCATTTTCTACAAGTTCATCTTCATATTTGGTGTGCTGAATGTTCAGACAGTTGAAGAAGTGGTGATGTGGTGCCTTTGGTTTGCTGTTCTTGTCTTCCTTCACCTCATGGTCCAGCTATGCAAAGATCGCTTTGAATATGTGAGTTTGTGTTTAAAGCCGGCAAAGCAATTTGAACAGTGCAGCAATGATTTTTTTTTAAAATTCCATTGTGGGATGTGGACATCGCTGGTTGGCCAGCGTTTATTGCCCATTCCTGACTGCTGTTGAGAAGGTGGTGGTGAGCATCCTTCTTGAACTGCTGTAGGTAGACCCACAATGCCCTTAGGGAGGGAATTCCAGGAATTTGACCCAGTGACCGTGAAGGTATGGTATATTTCCAAGTCGGGATACTGAGTGGCTTCGAGGGGATCATACAGCTGGTGGTGCTGCCATGTATCTGCTGACCTTGTCCTTCTAGATGGAAGTGGTCTTGAGTTTAGAAGGTGCTATCTAAGGATTTTGAGCATTCTACAGCATAACGTAAGATTCTCTAAATTTAAAATATAAGCTAAAGGGAGCTTTAATTGGAATGATTGGCACAAATCCCCTGTCAAAAGCAATAATCCAAGTAAATTAATGTAAATTAGTAGTCCCAACACAGACTATAGTCAGTCAGTCAGTTTCTGATAGCGATTAATGTCTTCCTGTGTGTGGTGCTAGTGGATGCAGGTATCTGCATTGACGCTATTGCTCAGCATCACGTAAATGCCTTCAAAAATAAATACAATAAATTTGTTTCACATGGACTTCAACTCAAATGCAAAATTCTATTGTGTATATGGATAGGTCTTGCATTTGCTCAATAAATATTTTCAGCTAACTTAAATATTTAATAAATTCTGCAAATTAGCTGAAATGCAAGCTGTGCATTTTTGTGTACAGCATGAAGTTTTGGTTATTAAAAATTCACTTACTTGTCAAGCTGAGTTATATTGGAAAGTTTCTCCGTGTTAAAATATGAACAGTCCCATGAATATTGAAATTTTGAAATGGGAAACTTTGAAGTAAAAATAATAAGACTTTATTATTGATTTTTAACTGAGCTTTGCTATTTTCTTTGAAGGCCCATCCATTTATTCTCTGGGAACTGACAAAAGCAATTTGGAATAGACTAACTTAGTATTTAAACTCAACTCAAGGCTGGCAAGCACAAAGTTGATTTTGAACCTTCAGGATGAGGCAGTTGGTATACAGTCTCCAAGTAGCCCCAGTGGGATGTTGACATTTGAATCACTCTCCCAATCCCTCCAGCTGATTTTTTTTTTCATTTGGTCTTTGTGAAGAGAATGTTAGAATTTATTGATGCCTCTTGAAGTAACATCTTTCTCCTGCTACTACACCTCTTTTAGTACACTAGAGAACTTTGGTAGTTTTCTCATTTAGTTATCTTACCTCATTGCAATACTCTTCTCCTCTGATCCAGCTGTCTTTTTCTCCAACTACTCCAATGAGTAGCCACATGCGTGTATTGGCCCTGCTGGTTTCCATGTTGCTGTCCTGTTGCAGTCTGGCTGTAGTTTGCGCACTGGTTGGATATTCACATGGCATGCATACACTGTCTTTTATGGCAGCTGAGGTAAGCAAATAATTTGTTCTGTGTTGTGACCACTTAGTGTGGAAATAAAGAATGTTTGTTTCTTTGGTCAAGTTTTTTTTTTCTCAGATCTCATTTCATCTGATGATTTTTCTGGTCAAAAAAGTGACTATAATGCATAAGTAACTTCTATTGTATATTGGTCTGCTATCCTTTTCCCTTTTGTCTGACTTCAAATTACTTCTATAATGTATTGTAAAACATCTAACTCTGTCTGTTCCAGTGCCTGGTTGTGACCGTCCGGACAGCACATGTTATTCTTCGGTAGGTAATAAATTATTTGGAATGCATCTTGAGTCAGAAAGCTAGAAGGTGGAATGTTTGCCATGTGGCTAAACTATCAAGCATTCATTGGCTACTTGGTACAGCATGTTGGAATGCTGTTGTTATTTGAGGTAATTTTGTGTTTGTTTTGATCCATGGTGAGGGCAGTGTGTATCTGAGACATTGAACTGGAAAATTCACAGTTTAATTGCTTGCTGTCTTCTGAGTTTGCTTGTTCTAGGTGGGATGGTGGAAACTGTAGTTGGCCTCTGTGCCTCAAACCTTAAGAGATAATTAATTACCCAGGATTTCTCCTCCTGTCTGATAAATGTTGTCCAATTGCATTTAAGTGTGCCAAGCTGAGGCCTGCAGAACAATTAGCAATGGGAAACTATTGTCTGTTGAGGGTATGTTATGTGGTAGTTCAAGAACCAGTATTTCACTACTGTATATGTACTGTAGACCTGGTTCATGTTTGAGCAGGGAGTGCCTGAATTTATCACTGACCATAAAATTTGATTGATGGAATTTAACATGGATAAGTTTATGAGAAGAACAGAAAAACAATTTATTATCTAAATCGAGAGAAGCGCCAGAGTGCTTTGATGCAGTGGGATCTGAGTGACCTTGGGTGCTTGTATCGCAGAAGACTTGTATGCAGGTACAGCAAGTAATAAGGAGGGGAAATGGAATTTTGGCATTTATTACTAAAGGAATAAGGTATAAAAGTAAGGAAATGTTATTGCAACTGTACAAGGTACTACTGAAACCAGATCTGGAGAATCACTTACAGTTTAGGTCCCCTTCCTCGAGGAGAGATGTATTTGCTGGGAGGCAGTTCAGAGGAGATTCATGAGATTTATTCTAGAGATAAGGGATTTAATTTATGAAAAGAGAATAAGCCTAAAGTGCTCGTACTCCAAGTTTAGTAGATTGAAAGGAGATCTAATTGAGGTATACGAGATGCTAAAGGGAATTGACATAGTAGACATATAAAGGATGTTTCCTCATTTGGGGCAATGTAGAACCAGAGACCATAGTTTTAGCACAAGGGGTAATACGTTTAAAACATATGAGAAAATACTTCTCTTGAAGGATTGTGAATCTCTGGAATTCACATCACCAATGTGTGTTGAATGCTAGAACTATGGAGGAGATTTTAATTGGAGGGAGATTTTTACTTAGTGATGGGTTGAAGAGGTATTGGGAGTGGACAGGAAAGTGGAGTTGAGGCCAAGATAAAATCAAGTAAGATCACATTGAAAGGCAGAGCAGGCTTGAGGGCCGCCTCCTCCTCCTACCCCTCTTGGTTCTTATGTTTTTGTGAGTATGCAATGAAAAGTTCAGGTTGCCTGCGCTGATGTAAGGAGATTTGGAGTTAAGTACCTTTATGTATGTGAAACTGGTGAGGATATAAACTGCAGAATCTATTTGAAGTATATTTAAAAGGAAAGTAGCATGTTGTTTATGGTACAACTCAGTCCAGTAAAATAGACTTCAGATCGGCTGACAATAGAAATCCCAAATTTGCGTGGTGGGATTTTAAATTGTTAGTAAATTCTTGTACAATGAGAAGCTACTAAAGCTTATGAAACTAAGTAATTGTTATAAAAGCTCATCTGATTCATTAATGTCCACATGGAATAATCAACTCTTGGTGCCTATTTAAATGTCCTAATTAGACACTCTGTTTCCTCCTGAAATCTCATGAAGACAATTATGGTTAAGTGCAGTTAAGATGGCTTTGCTTTAATGCCCATTTCCCATGAATGAATAAAAGTAGTCACAGAAATGACTGTGTTGAATATTCAAAAAGTCAACACACTACTTTGACTAGAATCTTCCCCTTGTTGTCTGAATGACTGTGCTGTATTTTATTCTAGGTACTGTATCCATCTTTGGGATCTGAATCATGAAGGAACCTGGGAAAGTAAAGGCACCTATGTTTATTACACTGATTTTATCATGGAGTTGAACCTGCTGTCAGTGGACCTGATGCATCACATTCACATGTTGGTAAGTAGTATGTAGCTCTGCTTGAACTCCAGAGATTGGTGTGCAGACTTAGCTTTGCAGTGAATACAGTCTTAGTGGGATGTATAATAACTTTGTTGCAACAGACTTTCAAGATACTGTCCTGCTTTTCCATATTCTTACCAGCAAGAATTATCTTGTTGAATGTATAAGCTGACAGCAGCTCTCTATTGCTGTTTCTCTTTAAAATTATGCAACTTGAATTGCACACTTCAAGTTAGTAAACATTACATTTGCAACACAGATTATGCCGGCTGTGCTTAGATACTTGACTTAAACTTGATTCTTTGTCCTTTCATTTGCCATTTGTGAGGCCATGGCTGGATTTCACCTCATTAGTCAAGAACTTTAGTTAAGAACAAAAATACCCACGTAGCCTGGAGATCAAAAGATGACATACAAGCCTCCCAAACGTCTCCCTTAGCCAAGTATCAAGAAACTTTGGTAGTCAGCACTCATGTTGGACATCCAGGAGAGTACATATTCAGGAAGAGTATTTGCCTGTGGATTTGTGCTGTTTACAACTGCTTTAAAAAGAGGACCTGTAGTTGTGTGCGTGGTTAGCTCCTGATGTTAGCTCTATATGTTGAGGATCACTATGCACAGCTGCATCTCTTGGTGGAGAAGTGTAGCATTTGCATGAAATTTTGTACTTGGACCATACCTACTGAATTACACTGTTATGCAAAAAGCATTCGAGAGAGGCATTGGGACTTCTGCGACCGTCTAGATAATCTATTGTAAATTGGGTGGCCTCACAGCGCCAGGGACCCGGGTTCAATTCCAGCCTCAGTTGATTGTCTGTCTGTGTGGTGTTTGTACATTCTCCCCGTGTCTGCGTGGGTTTCCTCCGGGTGCTCCGGTTTCCTCCCACAATCCAAAGATGTGCAGGCTAGGTGGATTAGCTGTGCTAAATTGTCCGTAGTGTTCAGGGATATGTAGATTAGGTGGGTTATAGGGGGATGGGTCTGGGTGGGATGCTTTCAGGGTCGGTGTGGACTTGTTGGGCCGAAGGGCCTGTTTCCACACGGTAGGGATTCTATGATTGTAAATATCATTGTGTCAATTGAAAATGGATTTCCATTTAATAACATTAGCACTCTATCTGCTGAAAGTGACTATTTTGTAAGCTTTTGTGTGATTATCATTTGATTTGTGATTCCACAGTAATTCTAAATGTGTTTTTGAAAGTACTAGGAGAGAATTTGCTGACATTAGATTCCTTGGTGTATTGTGGAAACATTAACCGGTTTTAATGTTATTTGAAATGCTGTGGGTCAAATCAACGTTTGCAAGTCTTTTTTTGATTTCCAGATACAGATAGTTATTTGCATTGCTTTGCATTTTATATCTTGTGCATACTTGAACTGTCAGGATGACATTGTTTGTAATGTTACCTTTTCTCCTCTAGCTGTTTGGAAATATATGGTTGTCAATGGCGAGCCTAGTAATATTTATGCAGCTTCGATATCTTTTCCATGAAGTGCAGCGCAGGCTGAAGCGTCACAAGAACTATTTGCGTGTGGTGGGCAATATGGAAGCAAGGTGAATACTGTGCATGAAGTAGGTCTTGTTATGGGTGCTAAAATTAATAGTAAGGGAAATCATCAACAAATTGATTTAGAATGTATTAATTTCACTAGCAAACAAACCACTAGCATATTCGCAAATATATGGTATGTGCTAATATTTTACCTGCAAATGTTTGAAATATATCTGTTTAATTTCATGATTTGTTTGTTTGCAGACATGGTTACCATGAATTTTTCAACCTGCACCTTACTATTACTATTCTTAAGACAATGATTACCACTTTGGCTGAGGAGTGGTCAGAATGATATGTGGCGTGAGGAACTTAGGAGTGATAGTGTACCCATGTATCTGCCATTTTCCTTCCAGAACATAGACATAATGAATTTCTGTGGTAGGGTGACGACATCAATTTAGGTTTTACTTTTTTACATATTTGACAAGAGTTTTTTCAACAGGAATGAATTAGTACAGTTGCTTATTGTTATTGTTAGTAGTTGATGGGCATGACAGAAGCAAGTAAATTAATTTCTCCTTAAAATGGCTCTGAGAGGTACATTCAAAAAGATTGTAGATGTACAAAATCAAAAGGAAACAAAATATGGCAATAATATTTGAAATCTTAACAGCTGTTTTATTTCTTTTGTGTGGGACACATGCTTAGGAAGGTGGTGAATAGTCTATGTGCATAGCTGGGAAGGGGGCAACGGTTTGTACGTGTGGTCGTGAAGGTGTGACACCCTTTTACCCCTACAGTATTATCAGTGGTAAAATATGATACATACAGTTGTATTAAATACATTGTCTCTGATCGATTCCATAGTCTGCAGCACAGTTTCTGATGTTTATTGCAATTGGTGAGAATGTGTAATGAATCCAATTAAAGATCTAATGATTATTCAGCATAAAATCAAATAACATTTTTCATGTATTCAGTTTATTGTACTAAAGTCTGTTTTTGGGTCGTGTGTATTATTTTAGTTTGCACATTATCTGCATTTTGAGTTTGAAAGCAGACTCCTAGCTCTGAGATTCAAGAGAAGACTGTGATTGTAACCTTATAGTAATACAGTAGACTATTTTCAGCTAGTCTGAGTAAACTTGTTTAGTCACTTGATAAACTTCCTGAAATTGGTAAGGGTGCAGAGGATTTGAATCTATGGATTACTATTTTTAAGGTAGAAAATTTGTCCAATTAGTAAATTAATTAAAAAGAACGCAAGGTGACAAGTGCTGTGGGACGTAGTGTTCTCAGACCAACTCGGGTTTGCAGTCCTAATACTGTGGATTAACTCTTCATTTGACAGGTTTGCAGCTGCCACTCCTGAAGAATTGGCTTCGAACAACGATGATTGTGCAATCTGCTGGGACTCTATGCAGTCTGCACGCAAACTCCCCTGTGGCCATCTCTTTCACAAGTATGTTATCCACCATTTATAATCCCCAGTAGATCAGGCTAGGCAAATGTGGAGAGAATGTTGCAAAGTGCTATCTCTATATTTTCTTCATTCAATAATTCATCTTTCGTCCTCGCTTGTCTCTCTCTTCCCTCGCTCGTAGGTGTGTCCCCACCCTCCACACTTGCCACCCTCACCCTGTTTCCCCTGGCCACAACTACCTTCCTCGCACATTCTTTTAAATCAGACCCCTTAACCCAAGAAATAGGCCATTGCTGGTGCTAGATTTCTGCATGTGTTTCTTCAGCCTCCCTCTGTGTAGAGGGACCTCATCTTCAATCTTCAGTATCTTTCAGTATAATGAAGACTGAAAGCTCTGCCCAACCTTGCAGGGATATCTGTTTGTTCGTTTTAATTGCTGCTGATTGATACTGCAAGCTGCCCAATAATTCAAATCATCCTATCTAAATTTAGTGATTGTTAGTAACTCTTTTTGCCTTTGGGACAATAATTTAAGTGGAATCATATTCTGGGTTGGAGAAGATAATTTTGCTTGTAAATTTACAGTAATTTTCAGACAAGTTAGAAAACTGTAAAGGGATTTTGACTTCCCAAATATTGTTACATTAGGTTTTGTGAACTTCATTGGGTTTCACAACTAAGTGACTCATTCTCATAACTGTTATGATTGGGATTTGCAGCACAAGTCTGCAAATTTAGAGAATATTTCCAGATAATGTATCGTGATTTTGTGAAACCATATAAGGTTTAGGCTCATGAATTGGGTGCTGAGCTCAGGTGTTGTTGAAATAATTTCTTAAAGCAGCTTATTAAGAAGCAATAATTTCAATACAGTGCAAAAAAAACTAGATAGAGACAAAAAGACCATAAGACATAGGAGCGGAAATTAGGTCATTCGGCCCATCAAGTCTGCTCCGCCATTCAATCCTGGCTGATAAGGCTATGTACTGTGACAGGGGGAGATGATTTGCTGAATTCAGAGCGTAAATTGACAGATGAAGCAGATTTCTGTTGCTGGGGCTTGACATTTTCTCGTCTTTTCAGTCTGTTGCTTCTTGTTCACTGTCTGCTTGAGCTAGCTAGGTTGCTCCTCCATGCAGTCTCCCTCTGTTAAAGAAGATTAGCCATTATGGATGAGTTTTGTCAACTTTTGATAATGCCAAATAATTTCTCCCCTCTTGAGAGTCTGCTTTAACCTATTTCTCAGAGGGTTGGTTTGCATGTGAGTCATGAAATCCAATCGCATCAGGAAGGTCTGTGCTGGAGGCACATCCTTGGCAGAGACAGCAGGTCTGTCCTGCATTTTTCAGACAAACTGTAGTCATTTTCTTAGTAAGATTTCTATAACGTTCATTAAATGTCTTAAGAAATGATATAATACAATTTCTTCAAATCAACATTCATGTATTGCTCTCTCTACACAATCAATGATATGCAAATTTGCCTTCACAAGCAAAGCAACATTGAAGGACAGGATAGACATTTCATTTCTGCTTCTCAGATAAATAAAATGTGACAAAATATGCAGATGAGGTAAAAATACACCAATACTACAGGTTATGTCATAATAGTGGGTGACAACAGCTAACTCTACAAAGTGTGTCTTAATTTGAAGTGTGATGGTCAAAATGAGAATTAGTAGGTATGATATAAGGCTGCTTCCAAGGACAGTATCATAAGTCTGTGTGGGATTTCATTTAGACTTGGAACTTGCATAATGTACAATGAAACCTTAAAAAAAAATGAACACAAATAATGGTTGGGGGCACATTTAAGCAATAGATGAGAAATTTTGGTGTTGTAGTTGAAGGCAAATTTAAATGAAATGATTTGACTGTATTCAAGGAGGAAATTGCTGACTTGTAATTCAATTTTTGTAGTGTAATGATAATGGAAGAGATTAAATTAACTACCATAGATTAGGAAATTAGTTTAAGGCCATAAACTTTGGCTTCTTATATATTTTTTTATTCATTCACTGGATGAGGGGCAGCACTGGCTAGGCAGCATTCGTTGCCCATCCCTAATGGCCCAGATGCAGTTCAGCGTCAACCACATTGCTCTGGGTCTGGAGTCATGTGTAGGCCAGACCAAGTAAGGATGCCAGTTTCAATTTCTAAAGGACATTAGTGAACCCGATGGGTTTTTCCTGACAATCGACAATGGATTCAGGATATTCGTTAAATTCTTAATTCTAGATATTTATTGAATTCAAATTCTATCACCTGCTATGGCGGGATTCGAACCTGGGTCCCTGGACATTATCTGGGTCTCTGGATTAACAGTCCAGTGATAATACCACTAGGCCATTGCCTCCCCTTTTTTTGAGGTAAAGGAAGTTCCAAGAGTGTTAAACTTCATGATTAATTTCAGTACAGTGAAACTGGAGATTGATAGGGGATCTAAGATAGGATGGATGCCAATTTTGTGAAAGCACTAAAAGAATAAGGCAGACGCCCCTTTTTATTTGCTATTTTAAATCAAAGAACAAAGAACCTATTTTGCCATTTATATAAAGTACACAAGATCATTCTGTAGCGCACATCTTGATTTACCACTGAGTTCCATCTCTTTAAGTTTGATATTAACAATGAGTCAATTCACTAACTTGTAAACTGGGTCAGTAGTAGTATATCCTTTGTAGGGTTTTTAAATACCAACTGACTTTGCTCATCTTTGATTATGTCATTAGCTCCTGTCTGCGTTCCTGGCTCGAGCAAGACACTTCTTGTCCCACGTGCAGAATGTCACTCAACATTAATGAAGACAGTCATGCTGGAGCCCCTCGACAGCGAGACAACCTTGATGAGAATATTGGACCTGTGCCTGGTGTTGAGGGCAGGCCACATCTTAATCAGCACAACCATTTCTTCCATTTTGATGGTAAGTTTGCTTACATTTAATAAGCACCTACAAAACCTTGGAAACATAATCTTTTATTGACTCTCAAACAGTTGCAAAGTTAGCAGTTACCACTTAGTAATTTTGGAGATTGCTTCTGTTATACCAATGTTTTATTCTCCAAGTAATAACCTACAACAATAACAAATTAATCTTAAAAGAAATGTGATATATCTTTGGTGTGAAATTGTTGGTGGATGAGACATTAACCAACTTGGAGATAATGAGCTAGAACTGGATTTCAAGACTTGGTGGGGCATTGGGAATTCAATGTGTGAAGGAAAAATGGGAGTTGTTGTGGATTATACTGCTTATGTTGTTTGTATGGAATTGCCAAGTCGTGTGGAGAACTGGTTGAAGCCTGGCAGGGAGTGGGAGTGGGGATCATGTCTGAATTATGCAAGGGCTTATTTAGGGTAAAATGTGATTGGTCAAGTGTTTGAAAAAATTGTTGTCAATAGTGCAGGCCTGGTGCACTGACTTAATATGATCACATATGAGCAATAAGAACTGTAAGATAGCTACGAAAGCTGACTTCATAACTGCCGTTAATTATATTTCCTTCAGCATCTTCGATATTCTTTATACATATTCAGAAACTGTACTAGACCACCTTATAAATACTGTGCTTGTGTGGGTGAATCAGAGGCTTTGAATTCTGTGGGAAGCACCTAGTCTCCTAACACTCCTCCTCTTCACCCCCTCAGATACAAGTGCAATGGAATTCTCTTTACTTGCATGAACTAACACAGCTCCCAAAATATTCAAGAAGGTTGATGCTATCCAGGACTAAGTGTGCTGCTGGATCATTGTCCCTTCTACCACCCTGAAGCATTTACTCATTCTGCAACAGCATGTATTACACAACCAACAGAAATGAAATGTACCAATTTACAGGCTTCTTTGATAACACCTTCCAACCTTGAAACCTGTACCATCCAAAAGATCAAGAGTACGAGTTATACAACATCCTCAATTGGAACCATTCCTTCACGTCCGAGTCAAAATCCTGAAACTTCCTCCCCAACACTCTTACATATACACCATGTGGACTGCAGCAGTTCAAGAAGGAAGCCCATTGCCACCATCCTGAGAGCAGTCAGAGTGGACAGTAAATGCTGGTCTAGCCAGGGATTCTAACATCGCATGATCAAAATAAAATCACTGTGCACTCTTTAGCGAGAATGAAAAATGCTAGCTTTAAAAAGAAATGCTGTTAATTGTTCAGTACTCTCCAACTCCATTCTCTTATCACAATAACCTGTAGTTAGTTCCTATTTATCTCCTGTGTGTAATACAAGCATTTCTCACTCTTTCAAAATTAACTGGCATTGTTTGCATAAAAGTGACCATAATCATGATCATGATCATAAATAGGAACAAAGTGTAGTCATTCAGTCCATTAAGCCTGTGCTGCCTTTGGATTAAAATCATGGATCTTTTGATTGTGGTCTTAACTGCACTTTCCTGCCTGTCCCCCATAACTGTAAACTATCTTGTTGATCAAAAACCTCACCTATGAACTCATTTGTCAATTCATGCTCAAGTATATTGAATGACCCAGTTTTCCCTGTTCTGTCACAGAGAATGTCAAAGGTTAATTACTGAGAAGAAATAACTCCTCATCTTGGTTTTAAATACGAGATTCCTTCTCAGCTGCACCTTATGATTTCAGATTTCCCCAGCAAGAGGAATTGGGCCATTATCGTCTATTCTGTCTACCACACTCAATCTTGTTTCAATAAGATAAATTCTTAATTTTCTCAAATTTAAAGGAGTATGAGCCAAACCTGATTAACCTTTTCTTATAAGACAACCTCTTTATTCTGGAAATCAGTCTAGTGAGCCTTCTTGAACTGCTTCCCATGCAAATACATCGCTCCTTAATTAAGGAGACCAAAACGGTGTATGGTATTCCAGATGCAGTCTCAGTAGTGCCTTCTGCGGTCGTTGCAAGACATTCCCTACTTTTATATTCATTCTGCCTTCCTAATTATTTGCTGTACCTGTATCCTAGCTTTGGGATTCATGTGCTACTACACTTAGGTCTAGGTGTTGCACAGTTTTGCAATCTTTCACCATTTAAAATAATATACTGCTTTTCAATTTTTCATGCCAAAGTGAGTGAGTTCATTGTTTTCAATTTACATTCCTTTGCTGGCTCCTTGTATCCTCATACCTTGCTCTCTCCCTGTCTTTGTCAAATATTCTGCCGATGCAATCTCTCCCGAAATCCAAATCATTAATATATTGTAAGTAGTTGAGACTCCAGCACTGATTGTAGTGGCACACCTAGTTACAGTTTGCCATCCTGAAAAAGATCCATTTAACCTGGTTCTGTTTTCTGTTCATTCGCCAATCCTCTATGTGGAATCTATCACTCAAAACTGAGCATTGTCTAATGCACATTATGTGGGACGTTATTAAATGCCATTTGGAAATTCAAACAAACTATATTGACATGTGATTCCTTTTAACATTTGCTTGTTGCAACATCATGACTTTTTGATAAATTTTATTCCCTGATATTTGCATTTGATATGTTCCAGGATCTCGGATTGCCAGTTGGCTGCCTAGTTTCTCAGTGGAAGTAATGCACACAACAAATATCCTTGGTATTGCACAGGTGAACAATTCTCAATTGAATGCTATGGTAAGTCAAACTGAAGAATGCAATATGCATTGTTTAAAATTATATCATTCATTTCCTCAAACAAATTGGTAATGATTCTGGAATCACAAAGGATCATAGTGACATAGAGCACATCGTTGTATGTATATCTTGCAATGTAGAGATGTAGGCAATGGGTTTGTTGCTATTCTGGACCAATGTGAGTTTCTGATCCCATTCTGGGGAGATCTGCCATCTGCATCTCAGAATGGAACAACTTCAAACTGGAGCTGAGCTGGTGACACAGCAACATGGAAAAATCCTGGAAACAGGTGATCTGCATTTTGCTGTTACCAATGGGGTGTTATACCTTGATTGCCATTTGAATTTTCTTTTATCTTTTCCATTTCTTTATCAAATACATTTAATGGGATTATAATCTTGCTAGAGGGTACTATTGTTAAAGATATTGTGAGGCACAGTGTATGCTTAATTGACCTGTTTTCCAAATTATTAATACAAGATTTTGGTATACATAGTGGTGTTTTCTAGTCAATCGTTTGCTCCATGTAAACTATAGAGCTACAGAATGATCCAGTCTAGGATCATACGTTTCATGCTGAATTGGGGCACTGAGGTCTGCCTTTACTTGCATATTTTGGAGAGTGTTTAAATAATGGAGCTAGAGGCGTCAGCTTGATGACTTTTGCTGTGGTATTTTGTTGAGCACTGCATGGTGATAGGTTTCCTGAATAAACTTGTTACAGGACTGTTGAGATGGATTAAAGATTAACTGGTCCTAAAATTGTCAAACCTGACCTATTTCAATCTGTCTTTATTGAATCCCTTGTGATTTGTTTCCTTTCCCACAGGCTTCATAGATTCTGGAAATTCCTGCTGCACTATTAATTGAAAATTTAAGCTACAATTAGTTAAGTTGAAAAGTGCCACTCAAATACTATCCTCATTATGTATTAATTTGGAGCAATAGATTCTGTAGGTGAGAGATTTATGCACAATTATGGGAGCATTTCTCAATTGTAATTATTGCACCATAACTACCGACAGGCTCATCAAATCCAAGAGATGTTTCCCCAGGTTCCATATCATCTGGTCCTCCAGGACCTACAGCTAACACGTTCTATAGAAATCACTACCGATAACATACTGGAAGGAAGAATTCAGGTCCCATTTCCTCAACAGGTTAGTGTTCTTTTTTGTTTACATGTTTGTATTATTATAGTATTTAAATACATTTGTTATCCATTAGTCATCTTCCTGTCCCCTTCAATGCATTTCAACAGCGCCAAGAAAGTAGACCAACATTGAACGGTCCAGCTGTGGAAGAGAACAATGGTCATCCAGGTGATTCAAACAGTGAAGAGCAGGTAAATAATATTCAGTGGCATAGTTTGATTACCCAAGGCTTGGAATATTGCACTTCTGTAGGAGACACCTCCTTTGAGCAACTCTTGCAAAAATGGAAAGGACATAATAAAAGCGGCTGTTGATTGGTGAAGCCTTAGTCACTTCTATTGATACTGCCATGATTAGTGTTTCTTCAGAATTTCAGATATCATATTGTACAATGTTCCTCCTTCCTCCTTTCACATTGTGCTGAAATTAAGACTCTGCAATGTATTGTTTTGAGACTTGTCTTTCTTGACCATTTCCTAACAATTCCATAATAGCTATGGAAGTACTTTTTGTAAGTCCTACATTTGCATCAAAAGCGATAGTCACATGGAAGCAAAAGATTCTAGACATGTTTTTTTTCTGTCTTCTGAAACCCACAGCCCTTTAAAAGCTCCGCTTGATGTGACCTTGCACTGGTTAATTTTTTTGTCTTTTACAGTTTTTAGCTTTGGTAGCGTGCTGCATTGTGGAGCCCTTAATATTTATAACGCTGAGGACAAACTTAGAAAAATAAACTTAGGGAAAAAAATGTACTTTTTTAAAAAATTTCAAGCTGCGTGATCACACAGCTTTGGTGTGCAATTGAACCTATCTTGACCATTCCAGATCTACAGTCTTTTATGTTCACTGTTGCCAAGTCTCAATAGCCCATTAGTCCCAAAAACCCCATTATGAAACAGCATCTAATTTCTTTGAGGCGTATTTTTACCTCATGTGTTTCTCCCACTTCAGTTGATCTGTTAAATTCTTCAGCAGGAAGGATAATCCAATTATATGTTCACAAGAAATCTAAATTTATTCTTTTGTTTCTACTTTGCCTGATTGTGTTGCATGAATATTGTCTAAACTAATGTAGTTCATCAGAGTTTAATGTGACAAAAGGCATTAAAATTGATATTTGCTGTGTCTGGAGCATTTTCATCCACTAACTGCAGCTCGCATGATCCTATTCCTATATCGCAAGTCAAATCATAAACTTTTAACTGCTCTGTACAATGGTACCCACATATTACTTGCAATAGATTGTCATCAAGTACAATTGGCCAAGTGGAACCAGAAGTACAAATCCTGAACAGGTTTAAGATATAAAATTTCCTAACATGTAATAGACACTGTGTAACACCACATGCTTTGTTGAAATTAGGCATTATTGCAACCAGACATGTTTAGCCCAAGTTGTGACTACATAATTAAAAAATACTTTCCTCACTGTTTACTTTTCCCTATTTGCTGTTTCAAAGTTTTGATGGAACATCTTCTGTTGGAACTTTTTTTTTTGCCTGTTGTTGATCTAAGACCTTGCAAAAATCCTGAATAATTATTCATTGTCCTGTCTTTCATTTTCAAACTATGCTACTTCAGTTCATGGAAATCGGAAGACTCAGTCAGACCATGCGTTCGGATAAGTGTTGTTTTGAATTGGACGTTAAATATTTGCTTTCCGTTAAATGTTGTTTACAAACCTTTAAAATTGCACAATTTTTAAGTGCCAAAAAATTAATTTAAAAACAAAAAAATTGTCACCTTGCATATCTTGTACATACAATCTTGATGAGCTCATATGGTCATTGTATTTTTAATGTTTGCTCTCCTACGAAGTGTAGATTAGTCCAGTTTTGAACTAATTCTTCTGTGATTGATGGCTGGGATATGCATGTCTGATCATGTGTTTTTATTTATAACAGCAACAAGTTGTATTTTATTGCAGCATTTTTAAAGTTCAGGAAGCTTTTTATTATCCAATACCTATGGGACCAGGAGTGTATTGATTGATCAAATGTTCTAGATAATCAAGAGGTCCACATAAAAAAAATGTAAAAAACATGCAGTAACAGAAACTTATTACAGGGGGTAAACACATTATTGTTATGCTTTATTTACAGTGTAATTTACTAAAATAATCATGCAATTTTGCTTTAAATAATACTGGCAGAGAACCTTCTCATTCGTACCCTCAACTGACTACTTGGACATTGTGGTACATCATGGTATTTGAGGAGAAATTGACTCAGTTGAATCAAATGTTGATATTTCGTGTGACTGTTCGATTGAACAAGTTTATTATATTGAGGTAGATTGAAAGAACTATAATAATTGGATAGAATAATTCAGTAAACTTAGTGATATTTGAGATGTATCATTTTTACCAATTTATCAAGAATGCTGGTTCATAAGATGCCAGTTAAAACTCAGTATGCTACACTAAAATTTCTGTGGTTACAGGAGTTTATATAAAAGTCAAAATTTGGCATCCGTCTACAAATCAGACCATTCTGGGCAAATGGCCAAAAGCCTGATCAAAAGAAGTTTGAAGCAGCATATTAAAAGAGGAAATCTATTATATAGGATGTGTTGGATGGATACTTGGATTGGATATGGTCATCTTGGATTTGCAAATGAGATATCGTGGTTAACAAACTTGTTGGATTTTTTGAGGATGTCACTAACAAAACTGATAAAAGAGGTTGATGGATGTATATTCTTGGATTTTCAGAAGGCTTTTGATGAAGTTCCCCATCGGAGGTTGGTAGCACATGGGGATGGGGGTGATTTACTGGTACAGATTAAGGATTGACTAACTGAGATAAAACTGAGTAAGAAAATCAGAGCATTCTTGAGTTGACAGGCTGATATTAGTGGGTGGGGGGTGTGTCCACAAGCACCAGAACATGGGGACCCCAACTGTTCACAGTATATATCAATAATTTGGATTTTGAGGACCAAATGTATTTTTCCAGATTTGTGGATGATACAAAGCTAAGCGGGAACAGGAGGATTTAGACAGGTTTAACGAATAAGCAAGAACTTGGCAGATGGAATGTAATGTGGGGAAATGTGACACTATCTATTTTGGTCAGAGGAACAGATGTATTTAAGAAATATTCTGCACAAGTTTGGAAAGTGTAGATGTACGAAAGGACCCAGGTATCCTTATCGGAAAAGGCTTAAATGCAAGTGCAGAAAGCTGTTAGGACAGCTAATGGAATATTTACCTTGATTGCAAGAGAATTTGAGAACAAGACTAGTGAAGTTGTCTTCAATTCTATAAAATTTTGGTTAGACCTCACCTGGAATAATGCAGGTCTGTCCTACGAATAGTGTTTGGGCAAACTGGGTCTCTATTCTGTAGGTTCAAACTATGAGAACTAAACTCATTGAAACCTACAAAATACAGAAAGAGATAGAAAGGATAGATGTTTTCCCTTGCTGGGAGTCTAGAACCCGGGAGCCTAATATTTTTTACCAAAAAAGGGAGATGCCATTTAGGACTTTTTTTTATATACAAGAGTTGTGAATCTTTGGCATTCTCTACCCAGAGACCTTGAGTATGTTTATAGTAAAGATTGGTAGATTTCTGATTATCAGTATGGTAAAACAATATGGGGCTGGTGTGGTAAAATGCATTGAAGTGTTTGATCATTCATGATTGAATAAAATGGTGGACTAGGCTTGATCATCTACTCTTGTTCCTAAGATTTGAAAGAGTATTAAGGTGCTAACTCCGGAGCCTAGAGCCTAAGATACCAAAGGCATGGCCACCAGTGGCAAAGATGTTAAAATTGGGAATGTTTAAGACGTCAGAATAATACGGGGATGAATGATGAGGATTGAGGCAGTGGAGGAATTTGAAAATTCATGAGAATTTTAAAATCAAAGATTTATTTACCCGAGAGCTTGTGTATGTCACCAGAAGTCTAGGTTATTTGACATTGGACAGAGCTTTGTTAAAGAGTGAAGGATAAAGTGTGGTGGGCCAGTCACAAATGTATTGGAGTAATCAAGTCAATAGGTGCTAGGCGCAGTTTCAGTGGTTGATGAACTGACACCATGAAAATGTAGTCTTTGGCATAAATATGTCAGTGGAAGCTCTTCTTGGGGCCAAATCTGATCGCAGGTTTGCAAACAGTGTAGTTAAATCTCTTTCAGTTGCCAGGTCGACCGTTATCTGGTAGCTAGGAAATGGAGATTTTAGTATAGACTGAAGACAATGGCTTTGATCTTACCAACATTTAGTTGAAGGAAACTTTTACTTATCCAGTAGCAAATGTTGGATGCAGTCTGCTAACTTAATAACAGTGGAGAAGAGAGAGGGTAATACGGTAGAACTAGATGTCATCAGCATGTGAAAAATAACTGCTATTTGGATTGATTTTATGATGTTAATATCAAAATCTTTGAAAGAGGTTAAACATTCAAGAGTAACTTAGGATACAGTATATGAAATGATACTTAAATATTTAAAAGGTAATACATGGAACCACAGTTCTGACTGCAGCATTTTAGTGTTCAGACCGTAAGAATATCTGTATTACAATATATTACTAGCATCCAGTTCTGAATTAAAATGTCCTAAATATCAGCTACATACAGAAAACTTTTTTTGAACTGGCACTCAATAAACCAGCAAAAATTATTATATACCTCAAATACCATGAGGTTTACTGTATTATTCTGTTCAGTTGTTTTGCGTTATTTATTTACCTCAGTCTAAATATACTTGTTCAAATTGAATGGCCGCACGAAACATCAACAGTTAATTCAATTTCGAGTCAATTTCTCCTCAAATGCCACAATCTACCGAAATGTCCAAGTCGTCAGTTGAGTGTGGGTGAGAACCCTCTCTGCTGGTAAGGTTGGTTTGTCACAATGTAACAGTGATGTATATGCCCTAAATATTGCGTTTCTATTGCTTAGTGTGTGTTTTTACATTGATTATGTGGACCTCTTGACTGTCTGGAATACTTGATCAACTGGCGCACTCCTGGTCCCATTGTGCTGGTTAATGAAAAGTTTGGTTGAGTTCATAGGGAATGAAATAAAGGAAGTCATTTGTCATGCTAAGAGGATGTACTACAGACTGCCTAATAGTGGAAAAGAAGTGGAAGAAATATTTAGACATACGTGAAATGAATAAAGTGCATGGAATAATGATGAGAGATTTTTCCTAACTCCAAACAAACTGCTTGAAGGT